GTAACCTGACAATGGGTGCTCACTCACACAGGTGATCTGACGATGGGGGCTCACTCATACAGGTGATCTGACGATGGGGGCTCTCAACATCTCATTCTCAAACCTTTTCTAGGTAGTTTAATTTGAACTTTCCTAATCTCATAATCTCAGGACTGGGAATATCATAAAATCAATCCTCTAATTAAATTACACATTAAATAACAATAAGAAATTAAACAAAATCCTCCTTCCCCTTCTCGATATAATGCCTGCCAAGAGGTGACGCCCGAGGAGGGAGGAGGAGGAGGGGACACCGTTAGTACACTATCCTGAAGAGTAAACACATCGTGTGGTACTTGGTACCGACATACCGAGCCTCCCACATTGATCTCATTAACTCCACCAACAAGTCCCTGAATGCAGCGTGACATACAAGTAGTCACTATTTGTTGCCACGACTTGACAAATTGAGAAAAGTGAAGAGTTTTGTTTTTTCTATTAGCACATATTTGTTGGCCAATAATTTCTGTGTCTTTGATTAAATCATTACACTGCAGATTAACACCATCTGCAAGGGTAAGAGTCCTTAACCCTTAAACTGCGCATGGCGTATATATTTGCCATGAGTAACATGTCCCACTGTGCGCATGGCATATATATATGCCAAAGGGTGCCAAGCACAATTCAAATGTCACGTGGTGTAAAGGGGTCACCTATACCGTAGCCAGGGGCGATTGTAAACAGACGCCATCTTTAAAAAAAATCTAGTGCAGGCCTCCTTTGTCTCCCCAGGCCTTAGTTAGTGGCCAGACACCATGTCGAGCACATCACGACCCTGTGTCCGACCTCGCTCAGTACACCTGCGCAGTCTTTGACCGAAGACGAAATAGCCAATAAATTCTTCAAAGACGTTGACGAATCTGATATTGACGACTGGGCAATAGATGAGGACTATACACAGCCTGAGGAAATAGAAACCACGGATAGTGAGGATGAACATGTTGGTGTCACGAGGGTAAGGATGCCACGAGTCACCCGCTACTACTCAACACCACTTCGTGCCCAAGCACATAGTTCATGTGTTCCATTGCAAGTTTATGATATGATCGACGAGTCTGAAATAGGTGAATCATTCTCTGGTTTTAGTGATGTAGAATCGGAGAATAGTTTTGCCAGGCCTGCTAGTGCCAGTACAAGTTTCGCTGCATCGGCTGCCCGCCCAGCCAAGCGCCGCCGCATGGAACAATATGGCGACAATGAGGAACAAATCCCTTCATGTTCCAATACTTTTCTCTCATCGACCCTTCCTGACCCTACTGTTGCTAGAACTGCTTCAGCTCCTGGTCCCAGGATTCCTCGCCGTGGTGCAGCTAATGGCTCTCGGAAGACAGCAGGTTTATTTGTGTGGAGAGATGGGGAAGATTTTGTTCTACAAATTCCTGACTTTGAGAATAGAGATGTGGGAATTACGGATCTTTCCCCTGATACAGGTGACGAAATGAGTGAAATGGACTTCTTTACTGCATATTTCGATGAGCCGCTCATGGAACATACTGTTCATGAAACGAACAGATTTGCGGCTGATCTTATTGAAGGTGAGGAGGTATCAGAATTTTCACGACTACAGCTTTGGAAAGAGACGACTGTAGGTGAACTGTGTGTGTTTTTCGCAATTTATATGTTGATGAAACATTGTGTGAAACACATAATATCACATTATTGGAGCAAAGACAACGTTGTTCCAACACCATTCTTCGGGAAATATATGTCACGAGACAGATTTCTGTTGATTCTACGGTGCCTTCATTTTGCAAATAATGCAGACGAGAGACAGGATGATAGGCTTTGGAGGGTGAGGCACGTGCTAGATGACCAGATTGGAAAGTTCCGAGATTACTACGTACCAGTTCAGAAGCTGGTTATTGATGAATCCCTTGTGCTTTTCAAAGGACTTTCTGCCTTCAAGCAGTATATTTCCTCAAAACGCCACCGATTTGGATTGAAATTCTTTGTGCTCTGTGACAGCTCTGATAATTTCTTAGCAAATTTATTGACTCCATGGATTCTAAACCTCGGAGTTAAGCAATTAACACTGATGGAAAATATCAGACCATGAAGGAAGAATTTAGACAAGAAATTCGTTTAATACTTTCATATTTAATAATTCATCTTCAGGAGGATGGATTTACAATTCAGTAGTCTGGATATATAGGCAGGAATTAGATAAGATGAGAAACAATGTTCACAAACATTAAAGAATAAAGAGATAAGAGGATATTAATTGGGTGCTATTTATATAAATGTGCATCAAATGCTATGATTTTACTCAAATTGTTTTTTAACTGATCAATCAAAAATGGTTCTAAATTATACAAACCACTACCAATGTTCAAACTGCATGACATTGTAATCTGTATTAAAACAGATTCAAAAATGTTTTTACTGAAAATGCTTTTACAATTCGTTATTGAAAGATACCCTCTCCCAATCAATTTGGTGAAAACTTTCTTACATATGAACAAACAAAGCATTAGACAAATGGCCGTATCTTAAAGAGTATTTATGTTGTAAAAATCTAAATTTAAAATCTCTGGATGTTTGTCTTACATAGACCATATTAGTCTTTATAAGGTATTTTGTAAATGACTCAAATTATCACTACGGGGACTGTCTGTAACTAATAGTTTTCCATCGGTATATTTCGTAATTAAACAATACATGTATATCAAAACGTTTCAAGGCCTTGACAATATTTTCGAAACCAGAAAATTATGGAAAACATAACATATTTTTTGGGCGAACTTTCTCACTGCATATATTATTATTATATATACAACGTGCTTGCTATGGCAAACTTCCAAAAAACTTAGTGGATAACATAGCTTGAGACCAATAGAATCAATGTCCTTTAACTATTCATCCAAAATCATCTTGGCTAACAACCCAAATTGCTCTTAGATACACAGAGGAAAAAATTTATTGTTTCACATTCGATCTGTGTCCTGACAAATAAAGAAAAAATTAAAAATTATTCGTTGGTTTTCAGTAAACACTAAACTTTTGTGAAACATCTTCTCTATGAATTAGTATATCTAAAAATTGCAAACATTTATCAATTTTAGTCTCTCTAGTAAATTTTATAGAGGGGGGACTTGATCATTAGGTTTAACTAAAAATTCGTCTGAATTGTAATTTGTAGGCCAAATACACAAAATATCGTCAACATATCTAAACCATGGAATGATTGCAGGTGTAATTTTAGAAACAAATTTCTTTTCGAAAAATTCCGTGTTCGAGTTTGTACATGTATTATTTCCTTAATAGTTTCCTCTTATCTCATTATTCTTGACATTGTTTCACACCTCATTCCTGCCTATATATCCATACCACGTAATTGTTAATCCATCTTTCGGATGATGTATTAAAAAATACGAAAGTACTGAAAGAATTTCCTGATTTAATCGTTCATTCGTGGTCTGACATTGTCACATTGTACGTGTTAATTTCTTTGTGAGTTACACACATAATGAGAACCACATGTGCTTTCGCTATGCTGTTCCCTCATTCTGCTTCCTTCGTGACGATCTTTACAACTTAACTAATGAAGGTACACTGCACTCGCATCTGTCTCAAATTTCTGAAACAATGTCTTAGTGAGCCAGTTCTACGCAAGTCTCTGCTATTTGTCCGTCTCATCAAATTATGTGATCAACCGTTCAGTTGTTTCTGTCCTACTATTTTGAAAAAAACCCACAAATTGAAGTTAGAGAATCAATTGGACGTTTTGTTTAAAAAAACTTGGATACAGCAAAAGAAAACTTTTATCACGCAATACCTTCTGAATGGAAAAGTTCTCTGATGGATGAAATCTACGTAGAAAAACACATAAGTTACAGAATATTCTAAAATGCAAGTTAAAAATTCTGATAAAAAATAATTACTGGACAAAGAAATATAATCTAAACTATCTAATGCGATGATTTTATCATCTAAACGGATAAATGATAATGCGGTTATTGCTTTGGGTTATGGTATGTCATTTCCCATTTCAAATCAACCCCTCTGTGCTTCAGATTTCTAGTTCATTGATAGAGCTCGAAGAACAAAACGTAAACGTGGTTTAAGGTATTGTTTTTTATTCAATTTTGACTTATCAAACAAGCAATTTTGCTGAAAGGGGTTACATAAATGAAAAGCCGACCCCTTACATTCATATAACATAGGCTGACCAATCAGCACGGTTGTTAAATGAACAAATCCACAAGGGCCGTGTCGAGGATTCGAACCTGCGTTCGGGAGCATCCCAGACACTGCCTTAATCGACTGAGCTACGACAGGGTAAAAGGGTTGAAACCGAAGTTCTACTGAACTTACTGGATCCCGTAGCCTATCCGAGGCACAAACCAGGCTTTTACACAACCCCCCCTGCACCCGAGCTATGTCAATAGGCCGTTCTCCCTCTTCGTCCTTACCTCATCACAGACAGAGATCACACTAACGTGATGCATGTTTTGAGAATCGTTGTGTTAATTTTTACATGTTACTTTGATATTTTCACATAAGCTAAGCTGAGTGTTTCATTTTGTAACTAGTGTGGCTTTATATAACTTATCTTTTATTAGGTATTTTTTATTCAGTATGAGTCCTTTATTTTCATTCTTAACGTAAATTTTGTATTTATATAGATCTGATAATGAATATGAGAAGCATTCAAAATGTCATGAATTTTACTTAAACGCAAAGAAGAATTTCAACAAGATGATTGTTATGTCAATGGTTATCCTATATATACATACATTATATATATATATATATATATATATATATATATATATATATATATATATATTATTATATATGACCGAAAAAGTAAGATTAATAATTCTAACACGAATTTTCTCAATCTTTCGTACATTTCTTTTCACTGTTGGTGGTAATTCAAAAATCAATTCTCCAAAATCATTTTTATTTCTAGTCTGATGCGACACTTGAGCGCGTTTCGTAAAACTTATTACATTTTC